GGGCCCCGCCAAGGCGGCGAAGAAGAGCAAGAAGGCGCGGGCGGAGGGCGGCCCGGCGGGGGAAGCGGCGGGGGCGGCGGCCCCGGCCGTGCGGCTCTTCTCCCGCGACGGGGAGGCGGTGGCCGAGGAGGTGCCCAACGCGGCGGCCTGGCAGGACGGCGCCGTGCTGCAGATCGGCGAGGCGCAGTACCGCGTGGAGCGCAACCCGCCGGCCCTCACCGAGCTTCGGCTGCCGCGGTCGCTGCTGGCCGGCTTCCCCGTCTGCCCCAAGGTGAGCGCCGAGTTCGCCGCCCCGCAGCACTGCCTCTTCCGCTGGTACCGCGAGCAGCGGCCCGCCGCCGGCGGCGGGGAGGCGGCGGGCGGGGACGGCCCGACCTGGGTGGAGGCGGCGGGGGACGAGCGGGTCTTCACGCCCTCCAACGCGCTGGTGGGGCTGCGGCTGAAGCTGCAGTGCACGCCCGGGGACGGGGCGCAGCGCTACGGGCCGCCCCGGGAGGTGGAGAGCAGCGGCCCGGTGGAGGCCGGCCCCGGCGCCTGCACCTTCGACTCCCGGCACCTCTACACCAAGAAGGTCTGCGGGCCGGGCTCCATCCGCGCCGTCTCCTACAACATCCTGGCCGATACCTACGCCCAGACGGAGTTCTCCCGCACCGTGCTCTATCCCTACTGCGCCCCGTACGCTCTGGAGCTCGACTACCGGCAGAACCTGCTGAAGAAGGAGCTGGCAGGCTACAACGCCGACATCATCTGCCTGCAAGAAGTGGATAAGTCCGTCTTCGTGGACAGTTTGGTTCCAGCCCTAGATGCTTTTGGACTTGAAGGGCTCTTCAAGATTAAGGAGAAGCAGCATGAAGGCCTAGCCACCTTCTACCGCAGGGACAAGTTCAGCCTCCTTGGTCAGCATGACATAGCTTTCAGCGAAGCCCTGCTGTCTGACCCACTGCACAAGGAGTTGTGTGATAAACTGGCCAAATACCCCTTGGTGCAGGAGAAAGTGCTGCAGAGGTCATCTGTGCTGCAGGTACCAGCTTTTATGTACATTCTTTCTCTTTCCTCTCTCCTCCTCCCCTGTCTCCTGGCAGGTGCAGCCAGACTAGGTTTGGTGAGTGTCAAACCACAGGAGGGGGGAGGCGAGGGATTAGCAGTCTGAAATGTAGACAGAACAGTGGTATGTTCTCTGTTAGGGTAATGGATAGAGCAGAAGAGTGACTTAAGAACAGGAATAAAACATTGAGACTTACCTGGATATATGTAATTACCAAAATTTGTTTTCATTACTCACTCTTGTATGTCAGAATATGTATTTTGTAAAACTTAAACCTTGTAAATCTGTTCTAAACGAGACTAAGTTAATTTAGCTTGCTTTAGTAATTACTGTCACTTTAGAAAGTGACAGTAGGGAGAGAAATAAGGTTGGACAAGTTTTTGAGCTTGTTGATGCCACTGGCTTTGCCGGCAGAGCTATTGTGTAAGTACAGATGTGTGAGATACAGATCTAAGTCAGGAATTTCAGAAATACTCATTGGTAAAAGTTTTCTACTTGTGGACTGAGTACGGCTAACAAGCTTTCCTTGATAACTAAAATCGCCTCTAAATTTAGTTTCAATTTAGCAACTGTGCAATGCTACAGTTTGCTTACTAAAACCAGAGATATAGCTCCAATTGCTGAGCTGGGAGAATAGAAAATAAAAGTAGTTAAGAATGGTACGGTATTAGCAACATTGTGTGAAAAAATACGGAATCGGTTTAAAGAAAAAATATGACCAAACCAGACGCTTAGGGACAAAAGAACATTTGTCAAATACCGGGATGTAGTGATAGTATATTGGGTGATACCCAGACCTTGCATAGACTCAGCTTAGGGGTTGTACTGTTCATTAGTTATAAGCATCAGATTCTTTGAACTGGATTGCCATAAAGGCATACGCTAGCTATTGCATTTTTTAAAACATTTAGCTTCTCTCTTTAAGATTTATTGAAGATTGTTTTTTTTTCTCTTGCAGGTTTCAGTTCTTCAGTCTGCAACTGATCCTTCCAGGAAGATTTGTGTAGCAAATACCCACCTATACTGGCACCCAAAAGGTAACTGTCGTGTGTCTGTATGTAGGATAACTGGGTTTGTAAAGGTTTTTGGCCTTCCTAGGGAGAATAGATTTCCCCCCATTCTTTTGCAGCCATAATCTTTTCTTCTGGAACTAAGGGTTTCCTGCCTTGCTTCTTATCTAGATGAATTAAGCCAGGCTGCTAGGTCTGTTCGTTTGTTTATTTTCCTTAGAGTAAGATTGTTCTAGTCTGCCTGGGAGTCAGTGGAACGCAGCTGAAAGCAGGCAAGTCATGTTACAATTCACTCGTAAAATTCACCCCATAAAACATAGATAGCTTTGCCATGCACTCATGGCTTCCCAATCCTATTGTACTTGAAGGAGCTATATTGGGGTACTGCCAGGAGTGCAACCAGATTGGGCTACAGAAGCTTTTAGAAGAGATTCTCCTCTTTTAAATTAGTTTTCTTTTGGTTCTGTGCCTTTCAGGAACATTATTAGAATGGTTGCCATGAAATGGAAAGCTGCTCTAATACAGGTGTTTAAGGTTCGGAGTTCTTGCATGTGTGAGTTTAAAAGTGTCTGCCTCTCAAACTTACATAGTCACAAATTTCAAAGACTTCTTTATTTATTGAAACTATTCTAGAATGTTGAGCACAGAAAACTTAAAATGAGATTGCTGTTTCAGAGCCATACATGATACATTTTTTAATATTCTTAGGTGGGAACATCCGTCTCATCCAAATCGCTGTAGCCTTGTCTCACATCAAGCACGTAGCATGTGACTTGTATCCCAGCATACCAGTCATATTCTGTGGAGATTTTAATAGTACACCATCATCTGGAACTTACAGTTTTATTAAGAGTGGTGTTATTGCTGAAGATCATGAAGACTGGGTCTCAAACGGTGAAGATGAAAGGTGCAATATGCCTCTAAGCCATCCTTTCAAACTGCTCAGCGCTTGTGGAGAACCTGCTTATACAAACTATGTGGGTGGGTTTCACGGATGTCTGGACTACATTTTCATTGACAAAAATGCTCTAGAGGTTGAACAGGTCATTCCGTTGCCAAGTCATGAAGAAGTGACAACCCATCAGGCCTTGCCAAGCGTTTCACATCCTTCTGATCATATAGCACTAATATGTGACTTGAAGTGGAAATAGATCACCTCTTGCATGGTGCTTTTGGGGGTTTTCAAACAAGAAATTTAGTTTACTGCTAGGGAACTGAGGTTACACCCTGGCTTGGATGCTACTAAGAGGAAAGTCAGAACACTTACTGAAAAGTTGATGTGTTTAATGGTTCTACTAAATATTTTAACACTCTTCAGAATATTTGCATGACAACTTCTCCTCCTGTTTTTCTATCCTAATAGGAAAAATATATTTAAGACAACCCAATTTTCAAAATGCCCTATCATATACCTTTTTATTGGTGTTTTTAAAGGATTAAGAATTATTTTGTTTAAAAAAAAGTATGAATGTAATCTGATTTATAAGACAGCATGCAAACTGAACCCTGCTTAATTCAGAACCAAACACCGAACCTGAAAACAACTGGATTTAGTTGATTCAACTTCACTGTAATTACTGCCATAACAAGACAATTTTTTAAAAATAAGTTGGGAAATTGTTCACTGCCCCAATTTTTTAGCAAATGGCCTGAACAACATACCTTTACCTTCTACCTTCTGAAAAGATGTCTTTAATTATCAGTGAATAGACTATCTGTCAACAATCAGCCATGTTAAATTCAAGATTATAATTGATTTGGAAGCATTTTGCTTGCCCAGTTAATATGGGTAATGAGAGTAACTTTAGTATCCGGGAAAATCAGACTACTTATTTAAGTAGCATCTACTTTGAACATCTGTTCCTTCAGCTGTTCGTAGGCAATTAAAAAAATACTGAGGTTTAGGACAGCCAACTCTGGATGGGAGGGAGCTTTTTACAATATAATCTGTTTTCAGGTAGAGGGAGATACAGAATAGTTAATGTGGTGCATTAGCTATCTGTCCCTAAATCTTTAAAAAGAAACACAAGTGACTTGCAAATCTTTATCACAATTGTTCTGTTTTGTTCCTCTCTTGCTAAGATGACCTGAATTTTTAACAGGGTTTTTACTGGCATTTATTTTTCATTGTAGAAATAGTCTAACCTATTTTGTAGGAGATCATTTGGATGTGGGGAAACGTATTTTATTGGTACATTCATTGAATGTGTTAGAGAGGTTTGAGTCATTTAACAAGCTTCTTTCCCTGCATCATTAGTCCATACGAAACAAACAGCATTTGAAAACCATTTCACTAGATCTCCCTCTTTCACCGAATAAAGCTCCCTTTTCAATTATCTGTCACTACTGCCAATTGATTTTTTTTTTTTTTCTAGTTACCGGTGTCTTTCATGGCCAAACAGGTCAGCCCAGGTTGATAAAAGCTGCGTAGCCTGTACTTGTACAGCTGTTCAGCTCCACTGCCTTCTGGTGGACTGTGGGTTATGGTTGGGATTCACAGAACTGTTTATGTACCACCGAAATTCATGGCCAAACAGGTCAGCCCAGGTTGATAAAAGCTGCGTAGCCTGTACTTGTACAGCTGTTCAGCTCCACTGCCTTCTGGTGGACTGTGGGTTATGGTTGGGATTCACAGAACTGTTTATGTACCACCGAAAACAGGCAGTCACTTTCCAATAGCATATTGCTGAGAGTTTCTGGTCCTGTACGCAGTGAAGGGTGGTGCTTTGCAGAAGCTTGTAAACATCTGCTTTTTATCCTTTTCTATGTTCTCGTCAATAAAATTACTACTGGTTTTTGTTACTGTAGAAGCTGAGCATCTAACAAGTTGATGCTGATAAACAACTGCATTAGTGAAGCCAAGAGGCAGGTTTAGCCTCAGGGGGTCACACAAGGCTAAAAAGATGCAGGCCTATAAATCTCAAACAACGTGACATGAAAAGACAAATCTCATGAACTGTCAGGAAATGTGTTACCAGCTCTGCACAGAAAAACACAGGTAACTGCAAATTGACAAAAGGACTGTTCCACTTAGACACAAGTTCCTAGAAGCCTGTATTACTAAAGATCTCATGTAAATATCCTTCTTGTTTGTTGTGCGGGTGTCTATTTTTGTCAGTTAGGTTGACGGTTGGACAAGATGATCTTTAAGGTCCCTTCCAACCTAGAAGATTCTGTGATTCTGTGATTCAGCCTTGCATAGGAGCTGAAGGAGATGTCTGCAACTCTGCCGGACTACAAAGCTGATAAAAGTATCAGTGATTCATAACTAAACTTCAAGATACAGGAGTGAGGAGAAAATCTTGCAAACAGAATGGAGGCTGTAAACCTCGTATCTGGGCAAGGAATATTCAATAATTTAGTAAATGAGAGAAAGCTTACACCTGGAGATCTGACTTTTGCAAGCATATGGTATCTTAAAGGGCAGAAAAATTAATTGGAAGATCTGTTCAAGAAGAAAAACTAAATATTAACACCTTGGAAAAACACTGAAAACCACCTGGAACAACACTGACACGTTGCAGCTGAGTCAGAGGCCTTCCACAGTTTGCCAGCTCTGAAAAAACTTGAGAGGAAAAAATATCCTAAAAGCCAAATTCCACAGAGTAATGCAGGCTGGTAGGTTGGGAAAGTCACTTAGAATAGTAAGATCGCAACTGCTAACTTGGGAAGTGAAATTATATCACTTAGGCTAGCTGAGCTCCCCTTATAACTTAAAAAACATTGTTTTTCTCCATTTTAAGTACCTATCCATTATAACTGGGTTGCTTTGTCTTATTTTCCACAACAAAAACATTAAAAATCTTTTAACTTCTCCATAGTACTGGAGGATGGAGCTGCTCAGAGAAGAGAGTGGCCTGATGTCCCCCTGCCCTCCCGGACACAGCAGGTCCCTCTCATTCCCTGTGCCCCTGCCTCCGCCCCCCCACAGACCCAGGGGAGCTGCCACCTGCCCCAAGGGAAAAACACGGGCTGGAACTGGGCCAGAGAAACTAGACAGCCCTTGCACATGGCAGATAATCCTTTAATATCTTCAGGAGAAACTTCAGCCCCCTGAGCTAGTGCTGGAGATTCTCCAGTCCCGAGTATCCTCGTTTCATTAGTCAAATGCAGCAGCAACGTGTCAGGAACCCGCTTGATGTTTCTGGACACAGAATGCAGCACTAGGGGCTAGGGTAGGAAAAAAGTCACAATTCAAAAGAATTTTTTTTTAATGCTACTTTCCCAGATCAGCCATTAACGAAAAAGGGAAAAAGGACCATCTTTGTTTTCTAATCGACTTGCCCATCTCAGATGCAGTAAACTCAAGGAGAGGCAGCGCTGTGCCAGCCCCTGCTCTGCCAAGCTGCTGTCTCCCAGGGAGGAGTCTCTTCTTTTCCACTGGCTCCTGCTGTGGACAAACCTCATTCACAAGAGTATCACGAGACCCGAGAGCACTGAAAGACCAGCCTTCTAGGGGTAACAGATCTTTGGCTAGGTTTTGGGTTGTTCTGGTTCTTGTGAAATGTAGTTTATCTGCATACTTGGTATGTACAAAACCCAAAGTTCTGCCTGATCCTTCAGACTGGTCTGGCAACTTGGAACTCGGATTCCCTCCCCTCCTCCATTCCAAACAAAGGGGTCCCAGCCACCTGTGACAGTACGTGAGGTCTCACACATCAGTATTTCTTCTGTCACTGCTAGTTTTGAAGTGACTAATTCAAACCTTCAGTAAAATGCACTTACGTGTCATAAAGCAAACAATAATGCAAAGTATGATTGAGAGAAGAGGGAAGAAAAGGAAGGAGGAAAACGATACAAGAAAAGAAAGGGAAAAATAGCCAGCATGTGGAGGAGTCACAGCTTTTAGCACTTGAAATTGCCAGTGTAGTTGCCTCATTTCTCACATTCCTAGCATCAAAAAGGTCATTCCAAGATTTTCAACTCCAACCCAGTAAGAGGAAGAGCCCACAATACTTCAGATTTTTACAAAAAGTGGCATCAGATTCTTTAATAGAACCTGATAATTTTCATTTTTTTTTCTGAAGAATGCACACCACGGGCAGTAGCCAAGCTTTATTCACCGGTCCAACAGCAGCGTATCAATGTCATTTCTTACCCAGGTCCCCTGCCAATGCTGCTCTTGACAAGGGGAAGAAAGATGTACTGGGAAAAGTAATGTGCAAAGTTTCATCATCCTGCTCTCAAATTGCCTTTGCCAAACCTTAATCTAGAGATCACTCAGATGAGCAAGGGACTGAATTCTCATTACTGGCAAAACCCTAAACCACCTTTTACACAAGCCAGGCCACTGTTGTAAGTGCCCTCGTGGCGTCCTATTGCCTCCAGTACATTGTTTCACTGGTCCATGTTGATAACAACGAGCACAAACCAAGCAAGCAGAAATTCCTGATGCGTTTAGAACTGATTTTTGTTCTGCCTGCAAGCACTACAACCAAAGTCCACAGATTATCTATGCAACAGTTGCAGAACAAGTTCTAGATTATATTGTTCACAAAGCCATTAAAAAAATACTTCCAAGAAACAAAAACCAAAACCAACAAAAAAACCCTCCCAAACCAACAAATATCCATTACTATTTATGTTACAGGACTGAGCCATCAGGTCAGTTACATACGAGAAAAACAAACCAAGCCGTTCGCACCAGTCTGTAAGTATATTTGAGTATTCACACAACACTATTCTAATATGGGGATAAAAAATGGAAAGCCAGTCATGCATGTACTGAAAATACAAGGAATAAATTATGTCAGCATGGCCAAATAAAAGAAAAAACACTGGTTCTTCAGTGTTGTGCTCTCTATAGTTACGCTGGGCATCTGAGACACTGCAATAAACACTCCTGTGCACTGACTCCCTGCCGTGGCAGAACTTACCCATTGTCTGAGTACAGGAGTTTGTGCTACACAATGACAAATTTCAGCTACTGGAACTCAGGATTTCCCGTCATTACAGTAGAACAAGGAACAAATTTTTAGCAGTCTTTTGCCCAGGTTTTGAACTTCTGGGACAACAGCTCAGTTCACACATTTGACTTCTGACAGGGAAATGACAGAGTTAGTATATCTGAACTCTTAACAGGCATGACAAAATTGGATCCTCATGGGAATTTCATCTGCTTCTGGAGAGCAGGGTTGTATTACACATTGTTCCTGATATACAACATATATAGGTCACTGTTGCAATTGCTTTAGCCAGAAAATAACTATTTTAATGAATGCAAAAAAGCTAAAAAGTATTTTTACAAATTTACAGTATCTTAAATGTCAGTTGCTGCCTTTATAGTAGGAGTCATACTGTGTTCAGGTACAAAGACTAGCATATAAATTATGTTTTGGTCAGTTTAAGAAAGTGTCACTCCCACAGCTAATGAATTTACTGACAGAGCCATATTAATGGAATATGATACAGATTTCAATACTGCATGTGATCCTAGTACTAGAAGAGATAAGGCAGCATAATAAAAAAACCTCATCAGGACTATTTGTTCTTGTACTAACAGACAAGCATTAGCTACAAAAGTAGCACTAACTCCAAAGGAAAAAGAAAGCCAAGATTTCAGCTCACAGCAACGGCCAGTAAGAATATGCACAACAAACTACATTGTGTTTGTCATCTGAAGACAAAGCAGCTTTCTAAGCACACGCTGCTCAGAATTGAGAACACGGCACTTAGAGTATACCCTGAAAATGCTTAGAGAATTGAGAACAGCTGATGAGAATATAACCTGAGAGAAGGTTTATTTACTCTGTCAAATGTCATTATTCCACAGCCCTTCAAGTGTTTTGTCCCTTCCACGGCTTAATATTACTATGAATAAGATGCATACCAGAGACCTTGCTTCCAAGATTATAACCTTAGAGAGTATTAAGAGGCAAATATCATTTTAGAAACAGAAGTCAAGTGTGATATTATCTATTTACAGGGAAATTGAAGTACTTAAGCTTCAGTTCCTCTCTATGCTCCAATTAACAGTACAGCGACTACTCAATTACACCCAAGAATTTTTATTGACTTTATCTTACTACACGTTATTGTAAGCTGTAGCCTTAACCCCTCACGCAGATCCCATCACTCTTACATGAGGCTCAAGATCTTTACTACATCCTTTGATTTTGTGAAATTACTGATTTTACAGCAGAATTACAACGTACTGGTACACAAAGCTGAGCTGGCTGGCTTTGTGTACCAGTGACAGAGCTGGTGACTCTGAAATACAAGCTTCTATACATGTGCTGTAACTCAAAGGCGTAGAGGCTAAATAGACCTCACCTAAAGCCAAGTATTTAATTACTTAAAAGCACTGAAAGAATTAAGACAACAAAATCTTCATCTCTGTTTACCAAGCAGCATGTTCCCTTCAAGATAATAAGCCAAATTTGTTTCTAAATATCTGCTTGTTTAAGTCTACCTCTAAGTTCTTCCTTGGAAGAAGAGATGACATTTGTCACAAATATTGTTTCATTTTAACCTATTGGGACTACCAATACAACTGGTACTACTGACAGGCCACCTCCTCTGAACAAGGTGTTCCTTTTAAAGTTTACTTCAAAGAACTGTTTTGCTAGAAATATGCATATTAACAGCTACTGATCCAATGCATGGAGATACCAGCTTTGGTTAATACATAATCAGCAATTCATTAAGGGTGGAAGCAAAACACTACTCACCTTACACCGTCTCCTGGGTTTCTGCTGCATATTGAAAGCAGTGAGTGACCGTATTCAAAAGCTCTGGGATGTTCTCTGGTTAGTTGTGTTCACAGTAACAGCAATTCTGAGAGACCTGACCCCCAGTTTCAGCAGAA